CAGGCTCAGCTTTGGTCTCAGACTCACCAGGCTCAGCTTTGGTCTCAGACTCAGCTTTGGTCTCAGACTCAACAGGCTCAGCTTTGGTCTCAGACTCAGCTTTGGTCTCAGACTCTGCTGGTTCTCCACTTCCGACCTGAGCTGGTGCCCCATTCTCTGCCGGCTTTTCTGGGGAGACCTCCGTCACCTGCACTGTTTCTCTTGCTTCTGGCTCCATGGCAGAACCCGGTTCTTTGTCTGCCTCCGCCTTTTCTGGTACCTTTTCCTCCTGGGTGGGTGGCTGCGTATCCGGTGCCTGCTGGACCACGGCGGGTTCAGGCGATGTTTGCGCCTGTGGCTCAGTTTCATGAACTGGTTCTGCCACTTTCTCTGGCTCCGGTTCAGGGGCGGCCTCTGCCAGATGGGTCTGCAAAGGCTCTGGGCTATTCTCTGGCAGCGGCTGCTGCTGCTGCTCGGTGTTTTGTGGCGGCTCATCTACAGCTGCGACTGAGTCAGAGGCCTTTTCAGATGACTCATCGGGTTCTGGCTGTGCCACTGCACAGGGTGCCGGCTCCACGTCGGATTTTTCCTCGGCCATGATTTCGGCATTTTCCTGTGCCGCGCTCTCTGCCACGGGCAGCTCTTCTGCTTCTTTCACGCTCACCACTTCTGTCGCATGGCCATTCACTGCCAGCTGCCCAGTCTCTTCCACAGCAGCTGGAGGGTTCTCAGGCTCTGTGGATTCGTCTGGCGTCTCCACTCTTCCCTCTTTTTCCATTACAGTCTCCTCTTGCTGAGGACTCTCCGACGCATCTAAAACTTCCCTTTTGTCAGTATCCATGCCTGGTTTAAAAGCCAACTTTCACATCCACCACCATACGCCTTAAACACAATTCAGAGAAGTGATTTAATTAGCACTACAGATTTGGTTGTAATGAAATGAGGGCACTTTGTTATGATTAACAGAAAGAAATGATCAACTAGAACTTTCGATATGTAGGATATGTGCTACAATTAAACATTAAAAAGAATTGTTCTAGGTGGGGGATATTTTTAGAATGTGATAGCAATAAAAAACATTTGTTGATGCCCACAATCAGCATGCACACAATATGACAAGGATTAGAGTCACAGTATTAAGTTGTGTCATTCTTTTTGATCATTTTTAAGCATCAAACGTGTGAGTCTGACTGTGCTTTGACGCCTTTATGCTCTCACAGCTGACAAAAATCAAATACTTCTGTCTGGATTGTGGTCACAATGTCTCGAAGGGGAAGTTACTCAACATACAGGATATAGGAATAGAGTGGTGATAGATGTGTGTCATGTGTTGGCTCAACTCTAATCATCAGATTTTTTTAACACATGTTCAAAACACAGACAAACTGTCCTCTGAAGACACCAGCTCGCCAGTTGAGATGGAAAATAAGCAGCCTCAAACCGACAAAAAGGATGGCTGAGAAAAATGGTTAATGATTACCTCAAAATTCAGCGACCTCCACCGTGTGACGGGGTATTTTCCCCAAACGCGAACCTACGCCACGAAACGCGGAGTTTAACAGCTGTGTGAGGCCATATTGTGCCACTTACAGAAGAAAAGGAAAACAAGAAGAGGAAGAGCTTAAAAGACAACTCAAGTGAATGCAGAAACAAAGAGGGTGCCCAGTGTTAACCCCCGCGTTTAGCAGCCAACAAGCGACCGAAACGAAAGCTAAGCGGCCAATATGCAAAAATTTACAGCTTACAGTTTACAGCTCAACTAAATGGCGACAGTTATTTTTTCTTAAAAGCAAGTTTTTTGACACGCGAACGACACGTTTACGAATCGAATTTGGAATTTTAATTTCAGCCCGAGTATCCCAAACCAAGTGGGATTTTTAAAATGTTATTTTATTTTTTTAAACAAAGAGACACGGTAGTTTTTACACATAACGAGGCACACATTTTAGTCAGGCGGGGAGTGGCGTGCACCTCACGTTAGCACGCCAGACAAAAACCAATTGAGCCCCTGGCAGACAGTTGGTTAAAATTTGGCTTCAACATCGTCGACCACACCGCCAAGTTTTGCCCAGCGAGGTGTAAACAAGTCGGAGTCTGTCACCTGGTCAACTTCATTTAAACGGTGTGCGCATAAAAAACGGGGTGTGACTCCATTTAGATGGTGTGCTAAAGTGCCAGCTTACCAGTTACGCTACCACCGAGCTGCTGCTGCTGCTGACCACGCGTTTCCCCCGGAATACAATGACAAGGCAGTCCTGGGCTCGGACACGAACCCACTCCTCTCTTCAAGAAGAGAAAAAAAAAGACACGGAAAGTCCCGGGAACGCGCATTTGGGCGTGGCCACGGACACGCCCCTGAGCAGCGGAAGGACACTTTTTTAATTTTTCTTCTTTTAATTTCATTTTGCGTCATTATATTTTCATACAAGTTTGCGTGCCAATTTTGAATTTGATTTTTTTTTTTAAATAAATTTCCTTAGGCATTGTTAAGAACTGGCAGAACCCAATCAACAATAAACCAACCATACAATTAAGGATATGTAGAGTTCAAATTTATGCAAATTATAGGGCCGCAGTGGAAGAAAACCAACTCAGTGGCTTTCCTTTGTCTAAAGAAAATACACAGGAATGTAAAAAATGATCATACACTGCTTCAAAATGTCAGCAAGTTTGTGTTCCAGTTAAAAATGTATCGCTGTCATTAATCTGAGAGGAAGACAGGCAAATGAAAGAGAAAAGCAGAAATGGAAGTATTAATACAAACCTGTTATATTTCTGTTCTTTATTTTCTGACTAACTACTGGATCGTTTAAACATTTGTTTGAAATCAGTCATGAAAAATTTGATGGAAGATGGAAGCTCTATAACCTTTAAAAGTGTGCTACATTGTAAGGTTTCATTATCGTGTCCATCGTGTAAAACTGTCCTTTTGAAGCACTAAATAGCAGAAGCTGTCAAAAAACTGTATTAGGATTGGAAGTATAATGTTTCCTCCTGAAATGTGGAGAAGATGAAGGATCAGGTAGCTGACTCATTTATGCCATGCCAGGGTTTCCTGTTTCCTTAACTAGTTTTTATCTAATAAGTGTCTTATTACCTCAAGCAAATTCTGACTAAAAGACATTTTGTCAGCTTTGAAGATTGTCTGGATGAATAGAAGTTGTAATAAAAGGATCCACACTGCATTTCTGTTCACTTATGTACGTGATGTGCATATGTTATCTCATATGCAAAGCTTTGACTGCTGTAAAAGACGAACACTGTCACTCCTGTCTCTGAAAGTCGAGCTGACAAAAAGTATGTGGCCATTTTGCGCAAACAGAAGCTTTTCCCTTTCAAAATATTCAAAACAATGCAAAGTCAGATAACCATATTCTTATAGTATAATGGAAAAACGTGTAATTTAATCTACACACAAACAGTTTTTTGGAAGGAACCTTAGAGAAAAATGTATTTACTGTAAATCACACCCCGTAATGCCAATGACAGCTGTCACAGAGCTGGTTTACCAGCAAAAGCCCCCAGCTCCTTAACATAATTTTCCAGACAGTGGTATTTCTGTTCTTCAAAACAGCTTCGCCAGAAAAATGTTCAACTTCTAATAGAAGCCGGGAAATACTAAGAAAGCTAAAAAGAATGACAGTTGTTCTTTGGAAACAGTCGGCTTTATTACACTGGACTTTTTTATGGAAACACTTAGGACATAAAATATTTAGAGTTCCCCAAATAAAATACAGAGTAAGTTAAACACCAGAGATTTCCTCCCATAAATATTGTTATTCCTCAGTGAACACCACTTCTGCACAATTTACTTCTGTGCTCAATGTTGAGACACCCTCAACTCCAATATTACAGACTACAGTCTCCACACCATCTGATGACTTAGAGAAAACACCAAAACAACCTGCTTATATCAGGCTCCACTGAGATAAATACCCCTGGTGAAGTTGGAGAAGAGGAGGACCTGAGCACTGTTGTTCTTCCTCTGGTCTTTTCTTGTGCTCCGAACCAAAGATATTGACAGAAGGTGGCTTCACTGTTGTTGATATTTCTTCACTTCATCAAGGGCCTGAAGTAAATTTCAAAATGTTAGATTTTGAATACGTCTTCAAAGGGGCTTAAAAACAATAATACAATAATAAAAGAGGGGACCTTCTGGATGGCGTTCATGGAAGAGTCATCCTCTTGAAGTCTAGCATGGGTCAGAGCCCTCTCAAAGTGGGTCACAGATGATTCAAAGTTCCCAAGCCTCACTGCAAAAAAAAGAAACTTCTATATTGGCGAAATCAGACATGAAGTTCAAGACTGGCTTAAACTAGTGAAACCATTGAGCCTGCCAGCCTATTAACTATTAACATTTTTTACATATGCAGTAAACAGTAGATTAACTATTACATTGTGACTGTGCAACCAAAACGTTGGCATTTATCTGCCACTTCTCATCAGCTATTTCATCAGCCACGGCAACGGAGCGCAGGCCGTAGTCTCTGGCTTCTTCGTGACGTTTCAGCTCCAGGTAACAACAGCCGATCTCATGGAACAGCCAAGCCTTCTCCAAACCGCCGCCCACCAAAGGAAGCTTTTTTTCCCAGCTGACCAGATACATGGGCAATATAGGTGATAAAGTTGTTAATCGAGACATTCCTTGTGAAGTTACTCAAAGCTTGAACATATTCTTGACTTTTAACTTGAGGGTGTTAAGTTTATTTACTCACCACTCAATGGCCTGTGCAAACTTTCCAACACTGACATATGTTCTGCCCAGGTTGTCCAGAGCCCTGGACATTGCTCCTCGAAGTTTGCTGTTGGTAAGAAACAGCTGAGCGTGTTGTCTCTTTTTGTAACACGTTCAACAGAAACTGTGCGGTTTCCTTATAATCTCACCACTGTTTAGCTATCTCCAGGTCTTTCTGATGATGCTCCAGTGCTTTGTCCATGTGTCCCAGATCAAACAGAGCGTTCCCAATGCAGCTATGCAGGCTTCCTAAGAGCTCTTTTTTATTAGGAACCTCTCTCTCTGACCACCTCTGCACTCTCCTCATGACTTCTTCAGCCTTCCTGAGACTCCCTTCAGCATTTCCAGAGGTCAGATCTAAGATGAAAAATAACATGAACATGGCTTAACTGGAAAGAAAAGAAGGAAGCGAGGTGTTTATCCAGCGGGAAGTCCTACCTGCATCTATGTCATCCAGGCTCTTCAGCAGGAACTGAGCAGGTTCAGGGTCACGGCATTTGTGTTGCGGGCGGGTCCTCCCTCGTGGAGAAATGTGTTTCTCTTGAATCCAGAGCTCAGTGCACGTGTCAAGGGATGTAAGGCAGCTCTGAATGATGTCCTGGAGTTGGTCTCCACACTTTGTTTGAGCTTTTACTAAGTCTGCAGAAAACACCATTCAAAATTACTATCGGCAATGAAATGAAACCATTTGCTGGGCTCTGAATAAACACACAGTACAGTCCCCCCAGTAAGGACCTGAGGGGAGACAGTGCATGTGAAGCCAGTGATGAATACTTCATTGAAATCAATCAAAAGCATTCACAGAGAGTCATTGGGTACCTTCATCTTTCATCAGATTGTCCAGAAATTTCTTGTCGCTGTAAAACTCTCCCAACAGCTGTTTGGATATTTTATCGCTCTTTGAGATCTTCTGGGTCTGAGGTCTTTTCTCCTTGGACAGATTCTCAATCACAGCGATTGGCTGTGGGCATTGTACCAATTAGGCATCCAGAGACAAAAAGGACAAGTTAATATTTGTGTCATGTGAGCTGCGAAGTCAAAGAGAACTTTATTAGCTAAGAACATTAACAGATAATCTGTGTCTGTGGATATATACTAATCAATTCTATCTATCTATCTGGGAAATCTGTGCCGAAAGGCTATGTGTGCACTGAAGTCTGACTCATGTGCTCAGAAAAGCTGGACCACAAACTAATCAAAACTCAGAACACAGTGGCTTAGAGCTTTGTGTGTGAATTTGTAGTGGTTTCTAAACACACTTAAGAGGATCTGCTATTCCACTTGATGGTCTTTAGAAATGTAAGAGCTCAAATCATATTTTGGCACAATGGAAACTTGCAAAAGTGGAACGCAACAGAAAACCCACCTCCTCATCTTCTTTAAGGAATGACAGGTCTCCCTTTACTTCTAGTTTGACAGTGGAAGGGCCTGAGGGATGCCAGAAGAATTCAAGATATTCAGGTTTTAGGTGGGAGGGGGTGAGAGTGAAATGAGTGAAACATTTCTACAAATCACTTACAGCCGACAGCGTTTTCTATGGCCTCCTGTGCTTTCTGGATGCCCAGTCTGACCCCCTGCACCTGCGGACGGACCCTTCGAGCTCTGTGGTAAAACACCAGAGCGAACTCAAATTCTCCCATGTAGTATAAAGCCTCCGCCTTATGGTACAACCCCTGAATATGACAAGGAAAAAAAGTTTTCGTTTCGCTTGGAGTGATTAACGCCACGGGATACTGAAACCATGGTGCTAACTTTCGATGGTCACCTCGAAACAGGGCTTGTCGCCTTGGAGCGAAGCTTCGGCGTCTTTTAAAGCGTTCTCAAACTGCCCTATCTTCATGTAACATTTGGACCGGCGGACGAGACATTTCTTGTCGCCTGGCTGTAACGACAAGGCCTAAACAAAGGCCGAAACGCGTGCAATTGAAAGGGGTTAAAAGGTTACCTCAGGTTACACGACTCAACGACCTCACAGCGGCACGAGACATACCGTCGTGAAGCTGTTGATGGCTTTTTTGTACTCTCCTTGAATTAACAGCCAGTCCCCCTCTGCCACCAAGGCTGCGAATGCACCCTTTGATTTTTCTGCTTTGGACTCATCATCCTCGTCTGACATCTTTGTTTTTGCCCGTTGAAACCCGGGTTATACCTCCAAATAAACGGCCAGTAAAAACAAAGCTGACTACCCAACGTTATCGTATCCTGGCAACCAAACCAACAAATCAGACTGGGAAAGGGCGCCCCCCTGCGGCCACTTGTAATATTATAAGCTCAAACTTGATTTAAAGTTGAATAACATTTCTAAATATAATTAATAATACTATGAGGAAATAAAAAAAGCAATGTCGGGGAAACCGAGATAATTCCAACTTTATTGAGCTGGTAACTTCAAGGATAAAGAGGATGGTTTCACCAGAAATAGCAAAAACTGAGAGCAAAGATGAGGACACTCTTGACTACTGTCATCAAGTCAGGTAACAAAAAGAGCCGTGTTTTAGCCCAACATTTTGTGCAGACCTTGCAAATGGATTTTGTTTCTGTGTATTTGTTTTTTTTTTCTTCTCACCCCCCCAGAAATTCTCATTGTTTTTTATTTTATTTTAACAGAAGTGTGTCTTCATCACGCCAAATGTTTCATAAGACAGCAAACTTACAATAAATATACATTTGAAAATTAAAAAAAATGGAAAAATATCAACTAACGTCACAAATGAACACTTTACGTTCCAGTAAAATGTACAATGCAGCAACCTGTGAATGGCAACATCAAACATAAAACCGGTGAGGAGAGGGAGGGTGACTTTGCTGACGAGGCCAGCAGAGCTGTCTCCACTGCCATCGTTCTACTGTGCTCTGGCCGTGCTGGATGTGGAGGTCTAGGCTCCAGCTGTTATTCTTTTAAAAAAAAACATGGAAGAAAAAAAAAAGGTCGAGTGCTCCCGCAGGCTAAGACAAGAGGCAGTTTTCAGTGCGAAATTGTAGCAGCCCACTGTCTGTCTGACAGATTCTTCAAAAGGGGAAGGTGCTGCTTGCTCAGTGATTTCCCTCTGAAACCACTGATCAAGCCACTAACTTTCATGCAGAGAACACTTTCTCAGCAGTACGTGGAGATGAGCAGAGGGTGAAAGCTTGTTCGATGAGCAGCTGCATCTCAGGAGTTTCCCCCCCAAGGATGGCACTTCCCGCATGGATCCCTAAAAGCTCGGATATAATAGCTGCCCAATTTCTCCTATATCAAAAATCCAGAGAGTATTTGGACCAGTGTGGCTAGCCATTACTGATTTTCAAGTTTGTTTCGCTCTAGAGGGAAGAAAACCAAATCCAAAACCAGTAACACTAATCAATCTGAGCCATCTTGGCGTCCTTGCTCTAACCGGCACTAAATCATTTGCGGCGTGTGGTCGTTGGGTTGCATTCGTTCAGTCAATGGCATAATCTGACAGGCTGTCAGTCATTAAATACAGATGGGGGGGGTTGAGGGGTTGACATTGTTGAAAAGTCCTGATGTAGAAACGGTTCAGGTAGACGCGTCCTCCCTTTTAACCGAACTGGAAGAAGAAATTTCCAGGCCCAGATGCTGAAATGACAAAACAAAACGAAAAAAGTTGCAGATCTTTTGACACAACAAGGCACTTTAGTACACAAACTCTACTTTTAGAGTTCAAGCATAACAACAAATTACCTTCAAAACTAAAGCCCCCCGGACCTCCGAAGAACGCTTTGAAAATGTTGTTGGCATCGAAATCTGTCAGAGACAGAGAGCGGGGGGGGACGTCCCGGTTAGACTGAGCACTGAAATCATTCTGCCTCACCCGTGAGACTTCCCCCACCCGGGCCGGCGCCACTGCTCACCTCCCATGTTCATGCCATCATCTTCCAGGTCCTGGCCGCTGTCGTAGCGAGACTTCTTCTTGGGGTCTGAGAGCACGCTGAAAGCTTCGCCCACTTCTTTGAACTTTTTCTCCTCTTCCTTCTGCACTTCCGGACTAGCTCCGCTATGACGGTCTGCGCAGGAGGGACACAAAGGAACTCTATGGTCAGCGTTTTTTTCATTTCAGCTCAGTTTTTTTTTTTTTTTGCTGCATCAGGAGAGAGAAGGGAAGCACCTGGGTGATGTAGAAGCGCCCGTTTGCGGTAGGCTTTCTTGATCTCATCTTCGGTGGCGTTCTTGTCCACTCCCAGCACTTTGTAGTAATCTTTCCGCTTGCTTTTTTTCAACTCCAGCTGAGCGGTTTTCAGAAGGTGTTTGTGTTCTGCAGAGTGAATAAAGGTTAGTAACAAACGTATCTCAACATGCAGTCACTCCATGTGCAGCTATGCCAAAACACACAGCTATGAAGTAAACCGACAGAAGAAAATTCAAAAGAAAGAGATGGATGCCTTTGTTAAAGATGCTCTCATAAGATCTGAAAACCCTGTCTGGGATCTTTAAATAAAAGGCAGATTGGGTGAGCAATTTCTATTTTTTTGATTGGCAAGCAATATTAGCCTGCGTAGCGCTCTTTGAAGAGGAAAAAAACAAACACCAGGGAGATTCTTCTGAGTGAGCAGAGGACTCACCTTTTGTCTTTTCTGTCTGGTAGACCTTCTCGTAGTCCCTCACCGCCTCTTCATACTGCTCCGTGTCCATGTAGCTGCAAACAGCAAAACGCCATTCCATCTGATCTCCCACAACGTCAAAAAGTTACTGTAACACAGCCAAGCTTCTCCCCCGACAAAGAAGTTAGACACCTTGGACGTACCACTGTGCTCTCCTTAAATAGGCCTTGATGTAGGTCTCATCCAGTTTGATGGCCTTTGTGCAGTCTTCGATGGCCTGTTCTAGTTTCTTCAGCTTTCACCGGAACACAGAAACAGGATCGTTCAAAGCAGAGAATGAGGAGAAGGGGAAACATCTTTAGAAACAACTCTTAAGTCTTGGGATGTTTATGATGAGCAGGAAAGAGTGAGCGCATCATGATGTAAGAAAAAAAAAAAAAAAAAAGGGATACAGATGTTAATGCTTCGTCAAAATCTTGATGCTCACCTTCGATCCAACTGTAGCTCTGTTACAGAACAGCTTGGCATTGGTTTTGATGTTATTAGGGTCTATTGTTAATGCCTCAGAGTACAGCTCGTAGGCCGCCTCAAAGTTTCCCTCCTTAAACGCTTTGTTGCCTTCCTCCTTCTTGGCTTTTAGTGCTTTGGCATTCTGGGAAAGCAGAACATAACACAGCAGCTTAATGGCCAGCACAGCCCACAGAAAGAGAGTAAAAGAGCACCGAGCTGGTCTCCCTGGCTATTTCATATCTACAAAACTAAAATGACCAAAAGAGGACACTCTTTACTTCTTCGCTTAGCTTCTCAAACGCTGAAACAAGACATTTGCAATCAACCTTTTCGCTGGTTTACATCTGGCGTGCCGGATCACTCACTCTGCATGCGAGCCGAGCCTTGTCGTGGTCCGGCGCCATGCGCAGGGCCTGGACGAAGAACTGCACCGCCTTTTCGATGCAGTCCTCATAGTAGAGACAGAGGCCGCGCACGTACAGAGCATCCGCGTTAGTGGAGTCCATCCTTAGAATGTCACTGAGTGGAAACAAGAAAACATCTCATTTTCTAAATGTGATCAACGTAAAAAAAAAAGCCTGAGCGCATCCTGAAGTGAATTGGTCAGCGAGTGCGTACCTGGCCACAGACTGCGCCTCGGGGTAGCGTCCCAGCAGGGCTAAACACTCCGCCTTCAGTATTTTGAACTTGTGACAAGCTGAGGAAGCCTCCAGGGCCCGGTCCATGCAAAACACGACCTTAAGAGACGCACAACGTTCTTACAGTTATGATGTCAATGATGACACCCTTAGCCCTGCTCATACAGAAAATATCCTAAACAATACAAGTGGCTTACCATCCTGAAGTCCCTCTTCTCAAAGCCAATCTCTGCCATTCTCTCATATTCAAGGATGGATTCTGCATTCTTCAGCTATCAAAGGAATTTGTGGTATTCAGTGACACTGCGGACCGCTTACAGATGTAAAATCCCATCGTGTCTGCTCATTAATGTGAAAATGGGCTTTCATAAGCCGCATTACTAGTCAAACTCGCCTCTTTTCTGTTTCATTGAAAAATCACAGCAGCTCTCCCGGATTTTCCCATCAAAGCTGCGGTGAGTCGCTCTCAGCTTTATTTTCACTAACTCAGTCAAAGCCCCTCTCATGGTGGATGCTCACATTCAAGGGGACAGATCAAGCCCTCGAAAACAGAGGCCGACTCACCTCCTGCTGGGCCTGGCTGTTATCTGGCTCCATTTCCAGAACCTTCTGGAAACAGCGACTGGCTGCCATCGCATTCCCGAGAGACAGGTGGCACTTGCCCTCCCGCAGATGTCCCTGCAAGTGAAGATTTACGGTTAGCAGGCTAAAGTGCTAATATCCAACTATTCACACCTTTTAATGCCGCTTTATAATCCAAGTACTACAAAGTTGTGCTGGTAAAGCCTGGTAAAAGTTATAGAATAAAAAAACAGCACTCGGAATGGTGTAGGAGCCGTGTGGTGCTCAAACGGAGAGAACGGAACGGAGAGGCTTGTTTTGGCCGGCCCACCTTCACAAAAGTGTGGTCTAGTCGTACTGCTTGCTGGGAGTCCTCTAGAGCCTCTCTGTACCGACACAACATCATTAGTGTCGCCGCTCGGTTTCCATAATAACTAGGGTTCTTTGGACACATATCTAAAAGAAAAGGAAAGTACAATTACTGATATTCAATCAACATATAATTTCTAATCTGAGTAGAAAATCGGCACGTTGCTAATTAAGAAAGGAAAAGTGCCAAAAAGTGCTTCGGAATAATCACCAATAGCCTTGGTATAATAGTTGAAAGCTTCTGCGTAATCCTTCTTGATATAAAAGGCATTTCCCTGCTCTTTGAAGCCCTCTGCTTCCCTGTGAAGAAGTGGGCGACAGAACACAAAGCAAGGCATAAGTAAAAACTAGAAAAAGGAAGCATGATGAATTGCATCACAAAGGCTGAGAAGGGAGCATGGTGTGTCAACTGCAAGAGTTACTTTTGCATATGATCATGCTAAAAATATGTTTACCTTGGTGTCTATTAAGTTGCAGCACATTCCCATCTGACTTTTGAATGACAGTGCATGAATCAGAGTTTACTGGCCTGACTTGGCTAAACATAGAAGCAGCCAAAACAGCAGGGCAGAAGTGTCTATTCCAAGCTAACACGTAGCTATTTTGTACAGGAGGGGGGGAGAGCCGAGCCAGGAATATATGACACCATGCCGTTTGCCACTGCCATGACTTTTTTTGGAGGGCTTTCAAGCTTTGCATCACGACCACACAGTGAGTGAATGGTGCAATTAAGCCAGCTAATGCCATTCCGTCAACTATACCAGACACACACATCAACTTTCACACTCTGACAACCAAGTCTGGGTTGCCAATGCAACAGCGTGCAAAGCAAGCAACCCTGAAATCTTGTACAAAAGCAGGCTAAGTGGAGGACCACCAAGCTATTCAAATATAGCTTAACAGTTAGCGATAACGGGCTAGTTAGCGTTAAAAGTGCGACAAGAAAATTCACATGACAGCCGTGTTTGATCGCAGATATCAGCGTGAGAATTCGTTGCGCATCAGTTTTGTCCGCTGACAACAAATGTTTCATCACTCACACCTTTCTAATTCCTCGTCACTGAGCAGTTCCATGTCAGGGTCCATGTTCACAGCATCACAGTTCTCTGTCGCCATTTTGCCGTCAATGAGGATGGGCGGGGCCTCGCACTGCAGTCGTTATGTACACTGTAAACAGGAAGTGCTGCTTTAGGTAAGAAAGACGGTCTGTCGTTGATAAAAAAACTTTGTAGAAGCTGTTCTATATTGGCAAGCACGTTACAAATGTTCACGTATGTATTTTAAGCCAATTTTAGTTCGATTAGCCAGGCTTCTTTTAATTTTTAAAGGCTTCGTGTCGTAGGTCTCTATCTTTATGGAAGCTAATGCTAAGCTAAGCGACAATTCAGACTGAAGGATACATTTTTATTAATTCTTATTTATGTCTCCTTGCTTAATGTTGTGTCTGTGTGGATGAATCTCCTCTTTCTGTCTGTTTTGTATTTGAGTTGATTTAGCCTGTTTTATTATTTGTCATAGTAACATTTGGGTAATACATTTTGTATTTGATTGGGATGTTTTTTGTTGTAATCTTATATGTATATGTAAAAATGAGAATAATGGAATAATGGAAAAGCAGCCTTAAAAATCCCAGTGGAGGCAAAACCCTTGGCAGATAATGACAAACCAAAGGTTTTGTGAACTGATCATTTCAGAGAAACCATTTTTTGTGAAGTAACGTCTATAATTAAAAGTAACGCAGACATTATTGAAAGTTTTCTTAGAGGTCACTATCCTACCATTAAAAAAAAAAAATGATTATGTCAAAACCAGCCGCAGACTAAAATCAAAATGAACCAAAGATCTAAATTTGGAATAGAGTTATTTTAGTTTAAGTTACATTTCTGGTGTTAAAGGGGGCTGGATGCTGGTTTGGTGGTTAGTGCTGTCACCTCACAGTCAGAAAGTTGCTGGCTTGAATACTTGATGAAGCCTTTCAGTGCGGTGTGTTCATTTTGTTTACATGAGCGGTTGTCTGTGGGTACTCCAGCTTCCTCCCGCAGTTCAAAAATACACGTTATGTAAATTTATGATAATAAACAGGCAAGGGAGGAATTGTTAACATGCCAGTGCCTGTCTTGTTTGGCTTTGTGATGGAGTGAAGATCCACCCAGGGTGTACCCTGCTTTTCAACTGGCAGAAGCTAAATAGTCTCCAGACCCCCTCTCATGACTGAAAATTGGATTAAGTGGGTACAGAAAATGTATTGTTGCAGAACAGGGGTTACAACTTTTTCAGGCCTCGGTAGATCAGCTCTTAAATCCGCTTAATAACTGGGCTCATTATTTAGTCTGTCTCCTCTTCTCCCAACAGATTTCCTGCCTGAAGAGTAAAGACTCATTATGGGGAAAAGCTGTAAAGTGGTCGTGTGTGGGCAGGCTGCGGTAGGAAAAACAGCTATACTGGAGCAACTGCTGTATGCTAATCATGTTGCAGGTATGCTGTCTGCCTTTTTCTCTTTTAAGTTACTTCGAATAATCATTGATTCTGGTTTCCATTAATTGCTCCTGTTAGACTGAAAGAAATGTTACTTCTTTCTTTTTTTTACAACTACTGATATGTCTTATGCATGCTAAAGGAGCTAAACTAATTTAGCAGTCACTGTTTGATTAAAAAAACCTTAAACAACAAGAGTCTTCATTAGTTTCTACACCACACAATGGCCAGTGTGCATAAAAGAATACAGATAGAATGGTACAGACTGTAATTACACACCCTGACGTCTTTGTGTGGCCTTTATTAGGTTCAGAGCCCATGGAGACCCTGGAGGACATCTACATCGGCTCCATAGAAACCGACCGAGGGACACGGGAGCAGGTGCGCTTCTATGACACCCGTGGACTTCGGGATGGGATGGAGTTTCCCCGGCATTACTACACTTTTGCTGATGGCTTTGTACTCGTCTACAGCATCGATAGCAAAGAGTCCTTTAAGCGAATGGAGGCCCTTAAGAAAGACATTGATCGTTACAGAGACAAAAAAGAGGTGAGATGAACGGCTGTGTTGACACTTTAGACATAAATCCAGAGTTCCCCTCTCAAAAGCGCTGGGAATGTTTCCATTGGCAGTAAACTGATATACATGTGCGTGTACAGTACTCAGTTCAGTATTCATTGTAAATGCATGACAGCAGTAACAACAGCCACCATTGTGCCGGTTATTGCTGTACACTTGCTTTTGGGGTTAGATTACTTTAGTGCCTACTCAGAGGGATATCAGGCTTTTATGAATTCATGTTACGACAGCTCAGAGGTTTTTACAGTCTCATACGGCTGTCTGGTGGTTAAAGATAGAAAGTCATTTGCACAGACATTGATTATTCTGCTCTACATGCTGGGATGAGACTGATGAATTATTAATTTGAATGTTCTTAACTCCTAATTGTATTTACCTCACATTGGCCGACATACCATATTTAAGGCTACAGAGAGATGCACGCCACTGTCTTTAAGGCTAACCGCTCTACAGATTTCACTGCTGTGACACTAATGTGGTGATCCTGACCTGTAGGTGACCATCATCGTACTGGGCAACAAGCTGGACAAGAAGGATGAAAGGAGAACGGACTCCAATCATGCCCAGAACTGGGCCAAAAACGAGAAGGTGCGTCTGTGGGAGGTGTCGGTTGTGGACCGCCGCACCCTCATCGAACCCTTCGTCCACCTGGCTAGCAAAATGACCCAGCCACAGAGCAAGTCCACCTTCCCTCTGAGCCGCAACAAGAATAAAGGCAGTGGTTCAACTGACAGCTAAGGGACTGGACTCTGCCGTCCTGTTTAAGGGAAGTGTGGGGGCTTTTTTAAAGGGAACGTTGTTTTACTGAAACGTGCATCTTGAAATGAGGACTGACTGAGGTAGAAACTGTTTTTAGGTTTCGAGAATGTGAAGAAGTGATACTGAGAGGAAAGGCAGAATGATTGTATGGATCTCCAGTGGGCATCATTATGTTGTTATGTCTGTTCTGGTTTAATTATGATAGTACACATGCTTGTTTCAGTCCAGAAATGGAACAATTCATCATGTTATTGTTATCAGATTTTTATTGATGAAAGTTGTGGTGAAACCTCCTTACTCTTTTCTTTTGCTGTATTCAACATATTGTAAAATGAATGATGGCTGATTTGTGAATCATTTAATTAACTGCTGAGTTTATGTGGAGATTTGTTTCACTGTCTGAGTCGTTCAGAGACCACAAACATTCCATAAAACACAACGCTTATCGTGTGGGACATTCATTTGACGGGTGGACATTACTGCTGGCTCGGGTGTTACTTTATCTGATTGTTCCGCATCAAAAGTCATCAGGAATAGAAATCATCTGCTTTTCTCAGAGAAGTGAAGTTAAATGAGGATGCACATGTTCAGCAAACAGTGATTCATTGATTTCAGATTTGAGCAGCTTTTTTAAATTTTTTTATTGTAAAGTGGAACACGCATTAGTATTATTTTGTGCCACAGCTGCTGACACTATTGAAATGTACCCACTTCATATTTGTTTGCATGTATTGTGGACAAATGGCAGCCTTCACTGTGCCTGAGCAAAACCGGTGCATTTAATCATGGAAATGTAGTGTCTTCTAAAGACTTGTGACCTTATTTGGACTGATATGTAAACTATCCTTAATCAGTTGAAGAGTTTCATGACAACAAAAGGTTTAGTTCAGTTTAGTTATATTTAAAAAATAGCTGAATGTCTTTTCAGTGAGTTTTAGTTGTAGCATTTTCCTTATATGCCAGTTACATTATGTGTGTGTTGTCATTCTGTGGGGAACATCCTTCCCAGTGTTTAACATAAATCAAAACCTGTTTTCTGCAATCTTAAGTTTAATGTGAGAAATAAATGTGTTTGCTTCCCATTATCAAGTGTGAGGTAGTTCAGTCTTTGGACCAGTTTCCATTCCACTTAATTACTGACCAATAGTCTGCGCTTATATCTGAAATTTCCACCGTTAGAAAATTAATCTTTGGCCTAATTTGAGTAGTTATATAACACTGCCGTCTGGTGGTCACAGGTGAAACATGCAACACTTATCTGGTAAAAAGAACCAGATAAACCTGCCTGTAAACCTAGAAAGCAAAATGTAAAAAAAAAGTTATCTGCTCAAACAAATACCAAATACCTTGATAAAAGGAGATCAACAGTTGTGTAATGTGCTTTACACCATCCAGTTATGGATACAAATTCATAACAAAGCTCTGCTGTATATCAGCACTGATGCTGAACAGGTTTCTCACATAACAAATAATGTATTTTTTGAGAAGATATGATCTGTTATAGATGGTTGGTTAAAACATTGTGACATTTGCTGAAATTGGTCTGTTTCTGTCGGTAAACGTATTCTGTTGAATGAACTGGGGAGTGGTCGACGAGATATACAGAGCAAAGTCAGATGTTAGGTCTGCTGAAATGATCCTGAATTTCCACAAAACCAGGACGAGGGATTATGAGCAAACCTCAAGTGGAACATTTGTGAATTTATATCATGCTCACTCACCTGAGTTTACCCACAGGGTTCCAGCACAAACCCTCCTATGTCCTTTTTAAAAAAGATGTGTCTGTGTAACATCACTTAAAGTCAGTGGTTCAGTCATGTATTTTTTACAGTGTCATAACAGTAAATTTGAAACAGTGAAGAACAAGATTTCTATGAGTTGTTTTTTTTTTTCCAGAGCCTTCATGTGCAATGACTCAATGTCTGCAAGGAGCACAACACCATTTATGAAATACATACTGCAAAAAAGGGGGGAATTCATCACTTGCCTACATGATGTATGAACGTTCTACCTCCTTTTGACAGCAGTAACAAAAAGCCAAATTTCCACTTGATGGAAACATTTACAGTGCAAAATGTCGGTGCCCTTGTGCTGCCATCAGCGACAGCCTTCTGAAGCAGAGGGGGGCGTGAATATGGCTAAACGTTGGCTTTCTTTCTAATGAAGAAAAGGCCGACTTTAACCCTGGTAGCTGCTACACTGACCCTCTTTTCACAGTCAGCCTCATAAAGCATCACATGAACAAAACAATTCCACTCAGCAGCGAGTGCAGTCTAAAAGGAAGTGCCATTTTTATTTTCTGTGCTTTCAAGCTAGGAAATATTAGCTGCTCTGAGGACATCGGTTGTGTCAAATGTTAGTCGTCACGCTGGCTGCTCACGAGCATCTGAGACAGATTATTTGTCCTGGAAGCGCAGAGTGACTCATTCTTAATGAGATAAGCCTGCCAGAGTGAATGAGCCGTTTTGTCTCTCTTTCACTGTCTGCTCAAGAAGAAAAAGAAAAACAAGATAAATGCATGCTTGGGCATTCAGTCTGTAGGTTGGAAGTATTTGAGACCACTAACAAATACTCGGGGTCATGTTGACGATACACCTCCCACAAATCAATAGAAAGACCACTGAAACTGACTTTAGTCAACTATTCAGTGAAATCTAATATAATATCTCTAATATTTTTTCTTTAAAATGTGAACACCGATGCCTCTGTCATCCTCTGCATTGAAACTCTTTTCAGAACAGTGAAAAGATTATTTTCTCTTGCGGCATCTTGTCGAGTGTTTTCCTTTGAAGAAGTGGACAAAAAACAGCAGGTACTGATGTGAGAATGAATTAATATGCAGACGGTGCAAAAAAAAACAAAACATTCAGAGTGCCCAAGAAACAACTGCTCACTTTAAAATGGTAAAAGTAAACTATAAAGAAACAAAGGGTGGACCAACATTCTACACAGGGCTTTATAAAAGTTATAAATAGCAAAGGACTTCAGTAGCCTGCGTTTTAATATCAGGTTAAACTGATTATCTGTCAGATGACCTATCATTACATTTTTTGATGAGTTAAAATGTAGATTTATATAAAGTTTTTCAAATAACTGTTGCTATTGTTACTTTTTACCAACGTTATTTGCTTCATTGTAATGCTACTGAGTGTTTTTTTTACCCTAAATTAAAAGTTAATGTTAGGCAGGAGCATCATTTAACCAAAATCATTTGTTAAAGAAGTTAATGGGATGTTTCTATGATTAATCTTACACACACACAGACGCACACACACACACACACAGTAAAGTCATTTAGAAGAAGTGACACTGTAGGTTGGTGTCTGACTGCAGAAGGGCAGAAGCATGTCTCTCTCCTCCGACAGAATTCAGACAAGATAAAGCATCACATCTTGTGGATCAATACACAGGATACGCCTGTGTCGCATCTTAGCAAGGTCATCTCGGCCCTGTGCCTTGTCGCCGGCTTTACTAAGTGCTGAGGATCCAAAGGTTCCTCTTTTATCGACAGCAGGAGGCGCTGCACTTGATGTGGCTTATCTGTAGCCTCCACAAAGGATGTGCAAGCTTGTTTTTCCAGAAGCAAAAAGAGCATCATCAATATACACTTCTTCTTCTTCAAACAAACCAGAGAAGTGGGAATTGAATACAGAGTTAACGACTTGATCGTCAAAACTGGGAAATAAAATCAGAGTGAAATGATTCCGTTCCAGTTCAACAGACATTAGAAAACACACAGTGGATATTAGTTACAGCACTAAGTTGCTTTTCTAGTATCTGGCAGGATTAATCGTCCATCTTCAAATCCTTCTGCAGGTTTTGGCGCTGGTCCATGGTTTTCTACGACTGACTTAAAAGAAAAGAGGTCTGTTTCCATATAATTTAATCCAGTAAAATATTTTACCAAATCATACGTGAAATGCAAAAATGCTAGTTCCTCCCTTTGGCCCTACCTGACCTTATGGGAATTCTGGCCCTTTCACTGTGGAGGTATAGTCACAATCTTTTGATTTTGACATGAAATGACAGAATGCTGCCTTCCAACATCTGCCCTGCTGTCACCAATAGCTCAGAAGAGGCAAAAAATCATCAGATGTGGGATGATGCATGGACAGATGCAGTGCTGCTGAAAAGAACAATATGTACTGGCACCCTGCGTTAAAAATAGATGAATTTGCTCAACTCAGACCAATATTTTCTTTAAAAATGCTTTCCAGCCAAAAAAAGAATACAAAAAACACTTGAATCAAAGCCTGAAATTGAGGTGTTTGTAAGGACAGTACGAAGCACTGTCACAGCTCATTATGTCACTCTCCTCTCACAGCCCGACACAGTCCTCTGGAATGGTGTTTTTTCGATCTTTACCTAAGAAACACACGCATCTACACAGACGAATAATTACATGATCATTAAAAAAAAAGCATTCGTACAAGTTCTAAAAGCTTTATTTTCGAAAATCCATCCCTTTATCTCTCAAATGTACAGGACTGAAGGTTTTTTTTTTTCACCAATCCATCCATGCGTACAGTGTTTGCCGCTCTCTGGAGCTATGGAGGGATACCCTGAATGGATGGTCATGTCAGCTTTTGCTCAACCTGTCACCCCTGAGAAGGCCTGGTTAACGTGACTTTAGGATATTATCTAAAAAGGCCTTTGAATTACATAATTAATTCAGTTACTGTCAAAAAAGGAGAAAAAAGATCACTCAAAAACATGTTTTAAATATTTTCTCTTGTACTTTAAAAAAAGATGTTCATAAAACAAAGTCAATGAACGAACAAACAAAAAAGAAAGCAAAGCAATATTCCTCCCCCCGTCTGCGTACAGAGCCAACTTTGTCTTTGTCTACTCTTTACTATGATAGCAGTTCATTATGATACAGATAACAATAGCCACTCTGGTAAAATCTCTATAAATACTCTATGACTTCTACACATAATCTGCCTTCTCTAGATTATTTAATTTTACAAAAAAAAAAAGGTCTAGGTCAGAGTTCCCACTGAGCAATAGAAACAAACGAACAGAGAAGATTAAAGGCTGGCTGGTTCACTGAGAAGTGCGACTGGGGAGAATCACGTCAGTATGGCGGGGAGCCCCGGTGGCTTTACCTACCCGGAAAAGGCATGGGACATAAAACGCACATCGTATGAAAGGTCTTGTTGAAGGACTAGTACTGGATGGCAGTTACAGGTTTTTCACGACAGATGGCACTGCTGCGTCACATATAACTACACGTTGTACAGATGCATAGGATTGGCTCCATTACTGTGATTTAAGAAAAAACATGACTTGGCATGATTGTTGAAGGGAGGATGGTTCGTGTGCTCCAAGTTCTTTTTAAGACCTCATCGAGAGTTCATTTTGGTCTGAGGAAAGGGTGAATGTCAGCAGATCTCCTGCTTGGGAGGGGGTTGTCAGCACATGACCACAAACAGCAAAAAAAATGGGAGTCGACGGTGCACTTGTGACACCTCCGAACAGCTCAGCCCTGACGACGTAACACCGTTTTTGCTCAGTGGAAGTCACACAAATGTCCGGGCGCTCCGCCGAAAAGCGAAGCGGCAAAGTCATGGCGGTGGAGTGCCCTCTCTGCAGAGCAGGAGCCACTCTCAGCCCGCAGTCACACGTTTAGACCGGGCCACCAGCATCTCCCATCAAGGGCAGCACCGGGGAAAACCTTTTTTTAGCTGACTCTTCACAAAAGAAAACAGAGTGGGCCCTTGGCTGGGATGGGTTACATACAACATTGTTACAGGAGTTTACAGTAGAGAATAGATAAAGCCATTGATACACCAAAAAATACATCATAAACATAAATATACTGAATGTATTGCTTTTAACTGTCAGACTTGTCATACATAAACCATATCGTCATCTTTCTCACCTGATTTTTTTTTTTTTTTCAAAGCAAAATTCTCATTGGAATTGACAAGGAATTGTAAAACATACACCTACAGCAAATAAAAGATGAACATCAACACAATTTTCATTGCTTTTGCAGGTAAATCAGTTTTAAGGTGCTTTTTAATGTGGTTGCCATGGCACTGTGCTTTGTTCCCTCCCACGCTGCATGCAGACGCTGCAACAAGATGTCAATCAAATTCTGACTGAGCAGCCTACCCACCCACTGCCATCCAAACTTTTTTTTATTTTTTATCGAGCTCTGAAATCCCATAAGGTCCTTCATTGTGTTTTCATTACGTGTGTGACCGTGTGTGTTGTGAGGGGCGCTTTCCCGGCTCCTCATCATCTCATGCTGAGATAATACCAGAGAAAATCAAGGGCAACAGCGAGGTGACGACAGTGATGTGAGGGAAAAAAGGGAAATAACAGCAGCCAGGATGTGAAAGCAAAGAAACTGTGGCATTTTGCAGGGTAAAACATCCAAAGCTGCAAAAATGCTTTCATGCCTCCAGCTTGGCAAGAACATGATGTTCAAGATGCATGGCATGAATGATGCACTGGAGCAGGAAATCCTTCAGAAGACAGTATTTTTTTTAAATTGAAACAAAGTAAAGCGGGCAAGCTGATCTTTTCTGGACGTTTGTGAGTGCTTAATCCCAAAAGAAAAAAAAACTGGAGGGGATGACAGTGGATGTGACTCAGAAAGAAAAAAGAAGAAGAATGTTTTAAGTGCGGGCCAAGTGCTCGGTGAACCGTATTTAGGGGTGTGAGTGTAGGATGATGTTACTGAAACCTTAGCATAAAGACATACCAATGTGTGGTATGACAAAGAGGAGTCACTCCCGCCCTTGAGCTGCTTTAAGTGAATACAGAGTAACTGTGCAAGAAGTTCTTTTCCTTCTTTTTGTCTACTATATCCACAATGCATCATCTAAGCTTGTCTTGTGCAGCCATACTGGTATGGCTTGTGTTCAGCAACTTTAATGACCTACAATGACAATTCATCATACCTCCGAATATAGAAGTTAAAAACTATTTAACAATAGCATCAATTAAAGGGACCTTATTTTGTGGCAACCACACTAAACATACATCTAGACATTTGTTCTATAATAAATTACACAATATTATCCATAATTTAAAACATGTTGACCCATGAAATGGCTATAAAAGCGGCCTCATTTCAGCAGTCACTGTCTGGAGACCTGTCCTGCTCCTTAGGTCATTATAAGAGAAGCAGAAAGAAGGCATGATGGGGGATCTTGGCCTTTATGATAAGATCAGCTCTAAGGCCATGGGGCCTGGCGAGCAGCAGGACTTGTGCACTCTTTCCATTTTAAGTCAGGTGGGCTGCATAGTTTGCATGTGGCCTGTTTATGGTGAGGGTCACTCTAAAGCAGGGCCTTGGATTTGGTAAAGGGACAGGGGAGGGGCTCATTTGAGAGGATGGTTAGGTCCTTAGTATGGGGAAAAGATGATGGGTGTGTGTGTGGCCCGCAGAGGCCCTGGCGCAGGCCGGAACAGTGCAGGGCCCAGGAATGGGGTCTGGATGAAGGTGGTGGTGCCCACCGGGTGGCGCAGAGCCAATGGGTTAGTTGCCATTGTGCACAGAGTTGGCTGGGTGAGGGGGCTGGGCAGGAAGCCAGTTGTCAAACTCTTGGTCAGCTGCTTCTGCAAGGCCAGTTTGGTCTGGAGAAGACAGGAAGGGAACGGTGAGAGGCAAGAGAAGAACACAGTGAGGGCAGAACACAGTTACTGGGCAAACATGTTTCTCGAACACATGGATGGCCCTTTATTTGGACACTTTGCTGCAACAGAATTATATGCAAAACACATCTGAGCAAATCATATTTACTTATTTTCATTTCTAAAAATCAGCAAAATATCCATTTGCCCATGGGTGTAAAAACTTGCATATGACAATACAAAACAGACTCAATACAGGAATACTGTATTTCATCATGTATTTACAGTTCTAAAGCTTTCAGTTGTTAAAAGGATAATTTGGATCTTTTTAACTTATGATGAAATGCTTTACTCACTCCTTATGACACCAGTGTACGGTATTAGTTCAGGCCCTGTTTAGCCCTTGTGTGAACATGTGTCCTGGCAGATCCCATTAATGGAGTAGTAAATAGATAGATGTAGAGGTATAAATACACACACAAAGGATTAATAAACACACTTGGATCCAATCACTTGAGTCACATTCAGAGGAGAGGTGGTCTGGAAGATATGTGGTTAGGTTCTTATAACAGTGAGGCTTTATCTGTGTCCACCCAGAAGACCACCTACGCTTGGCTTCCCCACCAGCGATGGGTGCTTTCTTTCTGTAAACATACATTCTGTGAAAAGCAGCATCTGAATTCACAGGATGCATCATTCATAGTAAAAGTCTTGCTCATTTGTGAGCAAAGCAGCTGTGGATACCCAATTAAAGATAAACCTGTTCTGCTATAAGAGGCTATGACTAACTAAATGATCATGATCCAAAAGGTTACATTTCAATGCTGTGAGGCAAAAAAGACCGATTCCATTCGAATGTCTGGCATTGTAGTCAAAGAGGAAAAAGTTGGATGATGTCGGGAAAAAAACAGCTTATCACATAACTGATGGCAGATCAATCAGTTGGTCAGTGTACAATATTAAGATGTTAATAAATTGGAGCTTTTTCTATTAAAACGTATACATATTGGTGGCTGAAGGACACATTTTGATCTTTTAAAAGAGTGCAGTTGAAAGTTTAAGGGATTCCTTTGCAGCTGTCAAGACATAAAGGGCAGGCACGTAACCTATAACTAATGTGCATTATTTCTGTGGCTTTTATCCTTTGTTGTGATGGCCCCCACACAGATGCTCTTTTATATACTTCAGACATTACCCTTTAGTCAGCACTTTTTTTTTTCAATTACGTCTTGGGGAAAGTGTTTCTTTTGTGCTGTAAGCAAACAGGAAAAATACAGTCCACAAAGAGGATCAAAATGAGCATTGTGTCTGAGAAGATATCATAAAGTACACAGCTCTGAGGTGTTCTAATGTTACATCCCAGAAAGCGTCAGAGCACAGGGACGCTTATTTTGACATGAGCGTTTTTCAGACGGCTGAACTCATCACAAATAAATGACTTCACGCTCCTTTAAGTTTTCTCATGTCTCTCAGAAAACTGAACATACTGAAAGGAGGACGTTTGTGTCTGAATTCATACAACAGAAAACAGTTTCTTTGTCAACATAAAACTCTGTTGAAACCCCGTCGACTGGACAAAGAAAATGGTTCCCCCCCTTTGCATCCAGCTGGTTGCTCCCACACAGAGTCGCAGCCTTCCTGGCTTTGCTGCGTCTTCCAGAAGCCGCTGCTCAACGCAGCCCCCATCTAATATTCTTTTTGTATTTCATACACTGCTTGACTTAATCAATGTCAGGTCTGTTGTTGCTGTCTGCTTTGTTCTATGCCTAAGAGTGTGTCCCCCGCTGCCCTTCCTGTCATATGTATGCATGTGGAAGGGCAGGGATGTCCCACAATACAGCCGTTCGGCCAAATAAAAATAACAACAAATGGAAATAATCACTGACTAAAGCAGAATATACCATAATCACTAAAACACCCACAGAGTGAGATTTCAACTCCAACCACTTCAAACCTCTCAATCATGGGGATCCAAGACAAAGTATACATGCTGTAACAAATTTGAGTAGTTCCACTTAAATTTCACCTTTGCATGATGGCTGTACATGTCCTAACAACAGAGGGTCTCAGATGATAAGTTAAAGTAAAAACATTTATCTCAAACGGAGCCTAAAAATCAGAATGAAAAAAGCTCTGAGCTGACACAACTACCCGTTTCCATTTTTTGCTGTTACCTGTCAATTATTTTAATATGAAACTAAAATCCCACATTTTTAATACATATTTGGAAAGTTGTATGCTTGTCAAGGAAACATGCACTGTGAAGCATGGAGCATGTCTTAATTAGGAAAAAGAAAATAAGCTTCATAATGATTACAGTATCCACCATTTTGTAGCCCTGCAGACATCCCCGTCAGTGAGTAAAAGGAACAAAAACAAAAACAGGAAATGAGGGCTATCCCTTTGACATGACTTCTTCATCATCTCTGCACTGTCCCCTGCCCAAAGCCAGGCCTAAAGTTAAGCCGGCTGAAGCTCTCGCCCTCCAATCCAGCCACAGTCTCATTCTCCCCTGCCACTGACCTGCGAGGAGAGGGAGGTGAGGTTGTACTGGGTGAATGCTTTCTTCATTGCAGACACCGCCACTCCTGCATAGCCACTCCATCTCACGTTCTGTGGGATGGCGGAGGAGGATAAGCAGAGATGAGATAGGTGTAGATATGACAGGAGAAGAGAAGTGATTAATCTGGAGTGCTGAATCAGGCTGCTGTTGTCAAAGTTGGACGGTGTGGAGAGCAGGACTAATTTAAACCCGTCTCAGGGTTAGGGGACTCAGTGAGTGTAAAAGTGTGCTTAACCTCTATGACAGGCCTACACGCTTGCCACCCTATCACAATGTACTGTAGAAGCCCCAAAAGCAAGTAATGAAGCAAAATCCTTTTTGTGTCGTTTGTAGAAGCTGACGGAAAGTCGGCCCACGGCCACAAAGACAAATTGGAAAAGACTTTAAAAAAGTTAGAAAACTCTCATTTAGAATTCAAACAGAATTATTTCCAGTTCTGGCAAAGTGTGTCGATGCTGTTTTGAGAGAAGGGAAATTATGCATTGTTGTCTTCCTCAAGTGTGTCTGAAGGCGAGCGCATTTGCGTGACAGTGCTTTGTTTGTCCACGTCTGTATGCTGAGACTTACCGCTAAGCTGGAGCTTGGCTGGCTCTTGCTGTGGGGGGTAAATTTGGGTTTGGGTGGTTTTCCGGCCAGCCTATCCTTGTGCCTTCTGCTATTCATGTGCTGCCGAGACCAGCAAAAAAAAAAGCCATTAGTAAGCCAACAAGCATCTGCCATGGCAGAGCGGAACAACTTCAAATGTTGTCAGCTGAATTAATAATGGATTCACACCAAAGTGCACAGAAATGACATCGCATTACTTTCGCAAGCTGCCGTGCTCCTTTGCTGGCTGCATTACTTACAGGCTTTTTGTCCTCCCAGGTTAGATGATGTTTATATAAGACTGGTGGAATGCCTTGAAAGCTAAAGCAGCCGGAATGCTCACACATGCCGGTAGTTTTTCCACATGCCACTCCGGCACAACATTATCTTGAACAGCCATAGAATTACATGGACATCTGAAGTGAAGTATAACTTCTTTACATTGGTTTAAAAGCTTGTATGTACAGAATAAACTCACGAAGCACTGTAGCTTACAATTCCGTGGCCCAATGAACAGTAAGTTCAAGCATGAGATGATGTGTGCTGAGTGTTGAGAAATAGCAGTGTGGATGTACTCTGCCCTCAGAGGCTTCATCCATGTGAGTGTAAATGAAAATACTGCTTTGATTTAAGCACACACACACCTCCTCCGTCAAAGTGAGGCCGAAATTGTCTCTTGGATTAAGTGCGGTCTTTAAAATCCCATCGTTCATATTCATCACTTAGATATACATCATTCTCTGCCTTAATGCAATACATTACAGGTCATCGTGTCCTCAGTTGAATATGTAATATTAATCTTCAGGTGTCTCAGGTAATTGCTAACTATCTTTCAGCAGCTTTGTTTTCTGATTAATTCTGCAACCAGCTCATCTCTCCGCAGGCTGAGGTAATTGTGTGCAACATTTTCCTTCGCTGCGTGTCATGATTGGACTGGAGTGCTTTTCCCTGCAGAATCAACATGACTTCTATACCCTTTTGAACAAAATCCTATCAGGTTAGCAACGCTCTGGCTTTGCGTGCATTGACAATTCCGAAAGACCTCCTCCTCATCTTTCATTTTGTACAACACAAGAGGGGGAGAGGAGCCCCAGAGGGGTTAACGCTCTCCCAACCGCCTCTGTACTTCACACCAAGAACTTCTGAGGTCACGTTGAAGCGCGGATGATTCCAATCTCTTGTACGCTGTAACTTTGTCCGGCCATCCACTTTTCCGAATTCTAATTGCAGTTTCACTCGTACGCACAGAGTCACGCCTTACGGGGTAAGCGGTCTTACCTGGCTCAGCTGAGTCTCGGAGTTCACAAAGATCTCACACACTTCACACTGGAAGTTCTTGCTGGGCACCCCGATGCTGCCTTTGCTGCCCAGCCGCTTGCTCTTGCAGCCCCCTCGGGTGGCTACCACTTTCCCGCGGCGGCGCGGCAGAACACTGTGACCCTCCAGCATCAGCTTGTGCTTCGTACCTGGGGGACAGAGCAGAGAGAAATACACTCTACAACTGACTGTTTTTTTTTTTTTCTGAGACCTGCCAGAAAATTCAGAAATAAGTAAGCAAGTAAGTAAGCAAGAAACTTTTTGGTTTTAAAGAGGAAAGTACAGTACGTGTCGCATGTCAGAGTACAGCTCCTACCACTGTTATGTGCATCCAGTTGGGAGGCAGAGTTGACTGTGACTTTGCAAACAGGACAATGGAGGTGAGCTTTGCTCTTCTTGGGGTCTTTGTCGTCATCTGTGCACGGCTCCCCGTTGGTGCCGGAGGGGTCCGCGCCGCTGCCCGGATCACCGGTCGGACCCGCGGCCTCTGAGGCCTCTGCCACCTCTGAGACTTCAGGGGCACTGGTGTCTGATGCCGTCTCATACAGCTGAGAGGAGGGGGAAATCTGAGGCGGGGAAAGGGTGACCAGCTCCACGGAGGACACCTCAGATACTGGCGTCAGCATCACCGAGCTTCTGGGACTCTCCTCCAGCTTCTCCTCCAGAACGGTGGGCTCCAGATCGGGCTGAAGACCTAAAAAAAGATGGCAAATAAAAGACAAAACAATAAAACTTTATTTAATTTCAAATATGTTTAACCACAAAATGACACAATTGCTTGAAGTCTTAATGATTAATAAACACTATTAAAAAGTGTGTCAAAATTCCTCTATCACACAACGACGTTTCACAATCTCTCCTATCTGGTGTTTACTTTTGTTTTTTGCAGGCTCACACAATTCATCATAATCCAATGAATCATATCAGAATTTCAATATTCCAAGATTCAGTATTCTGCTTTATGTATCAAATGAAAATATTTACTCTCATTTCTGATAAGGAAATAATTCATAGATGCCAATGAGAAGTCTTGTTGAGTCTGGTGGAGCATGATTAGCAGAGACAGAGTTTTACATTGATAATCATGAATGAAAATAAAATCAAAAACTTTGTTTTGGTTTGTGTTCTTGGATATGTTATTTCTAATGTTGCCACATCCATGTGGCAGTTCCATATTTCACTGACACATAAAGCAATAAAAAAAACGTCTGCTTCATAATTTCTTGATTTGAGTCAATCACAGCTTAGCAGCATGTGGAGGCTTCCTAGTCTAAAGGAAAGAAGCCCACTGTGCAGAATTAATATACCCCCATGCATGTTGAAATACTCTATTAGCTTAGATATTTTATTCTAATACAATACTGGGCGTCATGTTAAGAGCAGCTTAATGTTTTTTTTTCATTTACTTTCGGCAAATAAATGTCATCAGTCACTTCTCTGGTTCAGTCTCATTCACTATTCAAACATCAAATGGACCTGGAGTCTCAGTCAATATAAACAAACCAATCGACTGTCGGGCCACGCCGATAAGTCACTGGAGTTCCATTACACAGCCCTCCTTCACCCCATTGCCCTCCCATGGGAGTCGCTAACGTTTCACCCCAGAGCGCGCCACGCTACGCTCACTGAATATCTCCATTTCATTTAGAAAGCTTTCTCCTACACGCTGCTCACCTCAGTGCAACCGTCCCCATTGATTTTTCCTTTTATATCCTGGGGTAAATTCATCACTGGAGATAAGGGTCTTCATTTCTCATTCTGGCTCAGGTAAAAGAAACTATACCAGAGCGAGATTAGGCAGCCCCCTTGCTGTAATGAGAGTGACCCTTGTGGGACTTCAGGTCCTTTCTAGGGGAGGGGTCAGGGGAAGGTATAATCCTGACTACATGTGAAAGACAGGGCCGCCCGAGAAGTCCCTGGTGGGGAGTGATATCGATCGGTGGATTTAGTAGAAATCCTCAAGAGAATAATGTGGAATTTGGTGGGAACCAAGGAATCAAAGCATTTAAAAATACAAAGATTAAGATCCCAAAGAACCTTTTTCAGAGAATCACTTCAAACAGTCCTGCTTCGTGTATCTTCATTTCTATAATAAAAAGTTCCAAATCTTCAAATCAAGCTGTTATTTAACTGTAAAACCTACAGTATTAATAATCTATCACTGTATTAAACACTCTGTTTAGTTATTTCTTAGTACTTTTAACCATCTTTTACCACTATACAGATACAGAATCTCTGAAAAACAAAATCGACTAAAAGGCAAAAACAAACCTGTACATTTTTTTTCTGACCTGCTTTGGTAAAAAAAAAAAAAAATTTCAAGATAAAAAATTGTAATTTAGAGGGTGCCTTTTGATTAATCCCATTACTGCTGCAGTCTTTCCTGAAGATGCCACACTGGTGTGACACTGGCAGCAGGCCACCAAACTTCATCCATGTCTTCAATAGTCCGATCAAATCTGACAGGTTTTCAAAGGGTAAACAGACCTTAGTAAGTCACAACTCCATCAAATTATCCAAGAACACTGACTACAGCCAGATTGCAGACGGATGGGGGACAATGGGCTCATTAAAGACACTTGCCTCCGCATTCGCACGCTGAGCACCGGATTCAGTACGCATGCGGTGAGCCGAGGCAGTAAACAACTTCCCCGGGGAAAAATCCTTGCCTTAAATCATCATTACAGTGGTGACAGAGTCCCCGTGAAGATGGCTTCAGCAGCGGAGTCAATCAAAGCCCCGGCTGATGGATGCTTGTCATGATTGATGGTGACTCTCTGTCCCTTGGCGCCAGCCTGGTGCTCCGTTGCTTGCTCACTGTCCTTTGTTAGTCTGAGACATGCTTTCCAAGAATCGATCCGTCTGTTTGTATGACTGGAAAGTTTATCTCTGCTCATCTGGTCACTTCCCCGCACGTGCTAAATGTTTTGATACCTGACACGACAGAATATCCATAACAAGGCTTACATTTTTCTGGCATCATACAAAGCTTTTGGAGCTTTCAGGATTTCAGACCTTAATTTCTCTAGTAGGTGTCTGAGTATAAACTAGTCCAGATTCTCAAAACTGATCAAGCACAAAAAGAGACAAAGCTTCTCTCCAACTCTTGAGCATAGATCAAATTTTTGGGCCTCCATTTGCAGCCAGAGGGACTGGAAACGAGACCATGTTTATTCGACTAAATACCAGCAAAGTCTCAAAGCAAAGTCTATGTGTTCAAGAGCTGAAGTTGCAAAGAGGATGTCATCTCCAACATGATATTGATCCCAGAAGAGGCATCCAACAGGCTCCCTTAAAAGATGCATGCTGAAAATGCAGCTTGCACTTAGAAAAATAAAAGAAAATCCATCAAACAAGAACTGTGAGATTTATAGTAGTGTGCAGAAAAGTGTACTTTGACAAAGAATGTATGAAGAATAGAAAGTGCATAGAAAGTGTCTTTCTAATTGGGCCTTTTCCCTCCTAGCTATTTTATACTATGAAAGAAGGATGGAGAATATGAATTAACCGGTATCTATGAATATTGAAGAAATGCATAAGTTCGAACTTAATTGCTTTAGGAAATCAGGTCATATCTAACTTGCTCCGGAGTGGAAAAACTTTGGAAAGGGGTTCCTACTCTTGTCACTTTGGAAAGAATTTGTGTTCAGAGTGGATTTGGAACTCCATTCTGTGGCTCAGACTAACACGGTGGTGTATGAACAGCGTCCAAATATGTAATAATAGGTATTCTAACGAAGCTTACGAGGCTGGCCCTGTGGGACCACAAGAATGGAGTTTATTCTAAGCCAGACAGTCAGCATGGTTTAAGCAACGGCTAACAGGTGTGTTATTGCTTTCTAATGGCAGACAATGCAGGCATTACCCTCAGACAGCTCCACACCTGTCTTCAGTTACAACACAGACATAATTCATTTTATAGAGTGTTAATTTGGAGGGCTATTTCATTACAGTTTGGCATTGTGGTGCATGCCAGCACCGGCTCGCACTGCTGCATTTCAATTTCACATTAGGCCAATCGCACAATTGTGCTTATTAAAGAGTGCTCCTCTGCACAAAAATTGCCTTGGAACTATAAAATTATTCACAGCCTAAAAACTAGCTATGACTTATCTACTCTCTCTCTTCACTGACCCCCTCTTGCACATTCTTTCTCTCATATTGGTGGCTCTCTCCCTCACCCATTTCATCTTATCTTTCATTTTCCACTCGTCATCTTGTTTCCTCTCTGCTGCTGCTTTCCTCTTTTGAGGGGCCGTTTCAACTGTGGAATATTAAAATTAGATTTGATGAGAGCGTTATCAGGCTCCCGGTCTTTTGTCCATTTTCTCCTCTTAAAAGGAGGCTCTTGGCGCTCAAGGCGAAAAAGTGTGCGTCTGTGTGTCCTTGTGTGAACATGTCTGTCTGGGAGATAAATTGTCAGCTGCCCTTCTAAATGCCTTCATATCACATCCAAGAAAATTGGGAGAATATGCTAAGATTAGAAGTTAAACAAAAGGTAGGAGAAATATAAGAAGAACTGCTTTTCCTCGTCTCCATTCCTGTCATCTCAGACGGATTAAGGAAACAGTCTGGAACCATACAAGTGCAACATGAGCTGGTAATGGGTTTGCTCTGCAGCTGAAATGCCAGAGCTGCAGTTCATGCTCTCTGAGCTATAGTCGCAACTGTGGGATGTAGAAAAGTCAATATTCATTTTTTTGCTGAATGAAAAATACACTTCTCCTCCTTTATCAAATTTTACATTTCTATATTTGCACCCAAAAAATCCAACTTAAAAAATATATGAGTGTGTATGGATTCTTTCAATTTTAAATTGATGTGACACTCAATTAGATGAAAAGTCTCACCAGGCGGCTTTACTCTGCTCAACTGGCACTATATTTCATACAAATGCAGCCATTTTCTTCTCATTTTAAGTTAAAAAGGACAGAGACTAAGAGGTAGCCGCGATGTGTGAATCAGGAGGAAGAATCTCACGAGTTCTCCGGCTTCCACCCACCGTCCAAAAACCTGCACGTTAGGTTGATTGGACATTGCAAATTGCCCTTAGGAGTGAGTGTGAGTATTAGGCTCCAGTCCCCCCGCAACCCTATTAGGGAATAAGCAGTTACGAAAATGGATGGAGAAAAAGACACCAGTGAGATTTTAGTGGACCACAGTTACTGAAGTAATTCACCAACAGTGCCAATCTCAGACTTTTTGCAGTCTTGCAAGTTAGAGAAGCTCTGAAGGAAACATTGTGGCTTGTACCTGCTGATGTCTGAAGGCAAAGAGAGACCCAGGACGGGTCGTGAGGCGTGAAGGTGAGGGATAAGGTGCAGAGACGTAGTCTCAAAGTGTAACACGACGGAACAGAGAGAAGCGACAAGGGCCGCTAAGACACGGAGGAGGAAGAAGTCGACAGTAATGTGAAGTGGGGACTCAAGGCGAGGGTTCAGAGAGATCCAATGGAGCAGAAGAGGGAATCAGAGGAACAAAAGCGTGATAAAGTGATCATCAAGCAGGGAGAGGGGCGGTCAAAGATCAGTTACAAATAGCACACCGTTTCTCTTCACACTTACTTGCTCCCTCGGCTAAGCTCGTCTCCATAGGCGCAGGGAGCGCGGCCTCAGACGTGGATGTCTTGTTTCTGTCTCGCTCCCGCTCCCGCTCTCGGTCCCTCTCCCTCCCCGTGGACGAGGCGTCCCCGGATCGCCGCTGCCTGTTTTTCTGCGCCTCCATGGCTTTGACTTTCCGGGCATGCTTGTGGCCTTTATAGTGGGCTTCTGCTTGGTTCTGTGGGAAAATGGGATGGAAAAAAAAAAAGTTTAAAAGGAAGTAAAGGAGGGCTCAGTGCATTATCTGCTGGAAATACTGGTGCCCACTTGCAAAAAAGGTTGAAATGCACGCCTGAATATTGGCTCTCTTACAGGCATCCAGAGGCTGCGAGGAGGAGAGTCTGTTTCCACCTGATAACAGCGGTGGCACACTGGGAGGCCAGAGGTATAATTGCATGTGTAATATGCAACAAGAGAGAGGATTCCATCTCTACAACTACCCTATTAATGAGCTCTGTGAGAGTCAGTCTCAGCAAAAAAAAACAGACACATTTGGCAATACATACTAATGTTACACACATTTGAGCATTCAGAAGCACACAAACACAAATCAGACACAAAACACATTGTGACCGACCGCTCTGCAGCAGTAAAGACACAAATTCCCCTCCAGCTGGATTATGATTTACCCTCACATCCTCACCAATCTCACGACCCCGTTCAATCCCACAACAAAGGGAATTCTGTCTGAGCAAGCGTGGATGCATAAGAACAGTAGACAAATCAATACACAGATCACTCATTAAAGCTTAAAACATCCTCTTGGAATCAGTACTCATCAGCTACTGATGTGGGTGAGCAGTGGTTTAAGAAGCAGAAAAACAACACAGACACATTGTGGAAAATGATAAAGAAGCTGCTACAAACTGAAGGGATTAATCAGTAATCTCGACATTTTCATACCCTCTGTTTTCGAGAGGAAGATGAATATAGGATGCAGGATTAAAGAAGTATGGTGCAGCTGTTCCTCAAAGACAGTTAACCTTCTTCCTGAACTCTTACCCATCCTCATTAAATAAATCATGCAAATCCTTGGGAACTAAACAGCTCGGGCACAACTTGAGTAAAGACTCGGGACAGTACTGTGAGGGACGACTAAAAGAGCAATGAACACAAATAGAAATTAGATGTGAGCCACGCAAACTCCCAAAGACTTTTCATTCTGACTGAAATGCAAATTTCCCCCATTACCTGAGAATTAGCAACACATAAATCCCATAAGTAATTAAAAACGTTGCCCGATCAGTGTTAGTACAGAAAAACAAGGGTTCTACCGCCATCGGTCTAATGGAAACACCACCATTCTGACTCTGAAGTCTTAACCACCTGCATTTAGCGAGCCTAATGGATGTGATTGCAGTTACCGCCATGTGATGCGGCTGTCGAAGGGTCTGCAAAAACAGCTCAAATACAGCTCTGCGTATTGAGTTATTGCTCTGCCGTGAGACATCAGAGAAGAGCTGGATACGAACAGCTCAGCTGCTCAGCAGCCTCTCCATCCAGCCGCCTCTCAGCGGAGGCAGAGGGACAACGTGTGAAATGAGCTTTGGTTTTCAATACCCCGGCCAGCAAAGCTACAGGGGGATGTACGTTTCTTCAAAGGCATTCTACGCTCTCTAGTAATCGAGAAATCCCTGGAATAAAAGCAAACAAGGTAGCATACACGATACACTGTCATATGCTGAGTGAGAAGCATGTCTCCTCACGCGGCTTTAAAAGCCGAACCGAGTCCGAGATAACAACTACTTAAAAATCTACTTACAAATAATAGTTAAGCTGTGCTTACTGTTGGTTTGTTTAACTGAGGAGGTCATCTCATGGGGAAGGTTGTTACAAATACATCTAAATCAACTATATTTCAGACATATGATGAATAAAAGGGCAAGGGGTACTTTTTTGGTAGTGTGTAACTGAAGAGATCATGCTAAAAACAATAGTTCTGTAACAATATTTCAGTACAATTTTTTCCTATTTATCATGAAGTGTCGCCTAGGACATCCAGCCAGCCCCTACACGACTCCAGTTGGTAACTTGTTTGTCTCTCATGTTAGAAAGATGTGCAGTTCGCGACTTGTCATCAGCTTCCCCCTCCAGGGATCTAGCTGGATTCAGTTAGGCAATGAAAACACACAGATTCTTGCCGGCAAGTGTCACACAACCGCAAACACAGCTCCGTGCTTTATATTGCATTTCCTCCGGTATATTGCCCCTGATTGTTATTCTCTGGAACCTTAAAAAGCTCTTTGAGTCAATTTGTGTTACTGAACAGCAGGGCAATCTTATTTATTTCACCCTTTGAACATTATGCATCGGGATAAATTGGTATAATATCTGAGAAAAGGGAGGAAGGTGCATAAAAGAGTAAGGAAAGTACTCATATAAAGCTATAGTCAAGGAGTGCTCATAAAGAGCACATCTCCATGCTCACCCCCCCTAGTGCCTGGTCTCCGGTGTCTTGGGCCTCCTGTGTTTTGCTATGCCCAGACTGATGATGTCTCCAGGCTTTCTCAGCTATTATGAATTAGTTTTATATGAATATGCATGAAATGTCATGGGATGTTTGCTTTGTCTCTCCAGGGTGCATGTAGAAATGTGTACAATTAGTGTGTAAGCGCGCTGTGCCGAAGATGGCAAAAATGGGACAGCGAGCTGAAAATGCTGCCTCCTGCAGTGGCTTCTGATTGTTTCTGCACTTCGCTGATAAACGGACGCTCACCCCGCTGTCTAATCCCTCGTTCCAGAAAAAACTCGCTGTCACACGCACAGATTGAACTGAGAAGAAACCCAAACCTCTGTATACATTACTGTGAATATCAAAGCAAACATACATTTATGGAAAGGATACTCGTTCATTTTTACCTTCTTTATAAGCATAAAAAAAGAAGAAAAGCCAGCAGATTTACTTTTTTATCTCCCTTTTGCTCACAAGTGCAGATAATGAGAGGTGAGGTAATTACAGAGAGAATAATAAAAACAAGCATTCAAAAGAAAAACTGAGGCCCAAAACACAGTTGTTCTCCGAGGGTACACTTGTTCCCTTGTATACAATAGCTTTATATAGTAAATTACCCAGCCCAGCGTAATGTGTCTTTTTCTTTCGTATCGCTCCACCACTCCTCAATCCTCCAATTCCGACCGCAGAGTAAAAGCAATGAAGCATTTCTTACTGTCGAGTTAAAGCGCAGGTGGCAAATGTTGCAGGAGATAATCTGTTTCTTCTTGAGGGGCTGAGGGACACCAAAGGTGTGGTTGATCACTGCCTTCTGGACAGGGTCCATCTGAAAGACAGAGACAAATAACCACCAAGAAACAACATTAGCTCTTCTCGGAGTGGGGAAAGAAACTTTTCGGCAGAGGTGAAGTCATTTCACAGACAGATGCTGGTTTAATCCTCCCTTCCTGTTCACATCTGGAACTGCAAAGTTTGTGAGACCAGAGAGCCTAAATTGCATTTTGAGCTTAGTTTATTATTAGAAGAAATCTCTGTCCACAGGGATTAATCCAATAATAGTTTGCATTTGTGATTTTATTTGGCTTGGTTAGTTTTCCTCAGGCTTTAGTTTTTTGTTTTTTTTACAATATGATGTGGTCTTGCCAGCGATGGAACGCATTCCTCACTTCCTTCTCCTTTAATAATATAGCTCTGTGGCCAAACTCAATCCATTTTGGTCACGTCTGACTACCACAAAAGCTAGTCTGATGGAATATCCAGGCTAAAACAAGGCCAAATGTTCACAACCTTTGCCGGGATGTTTGAACGTCATCCTGGAAACAAATCATGAAATATTTCCTGGAATATCGGAACATCTGCCTAAGGAAACCCTTTTAACAACACGGAACATCACACGCTGTGATCTGAAGATATTTCTGCTTTAGGGTTACCCTGCAAGTTAAAATAAAGATGAGGGAACATGCAGAGACAGAAGGGCAGGTTTGAGGCATAAATCTGGAAGAAACAAAAAAAACATTTTTTTTTTTTTTTTCAGAATTAGCATGTTGAAGTACCCTTTGAAGTGAGGGGGCTGTCACAGCTCCTCACCGCTTTTCACAGGTTTTTGCAGATCCTCATTTGCCTGCATGCATAAGGCATAGTCACCGGTGACTGTAATGCAATCACAGATGGGGTGGGAATATTTAAAAATGAATTACTGATTGTTCTCTTTATTCTAATTATCATAGTCGCTGTGTGTATTTTCCTTCTCCTCTTCAAAACTAATCTCTGAGGCTGGCATAATCTATATCCTCCGAGCAATTTTTGGATTCTTAGGAAAACATTGCACACCGTTTGTCTTTAACTACTGACTGACTGCATCTGCACATCTTAGTAACCCCAAAGCTCTGAAACATATGATGAAAGTCTGAGTGTCTAAAATGCTTTCATTTCGCATTTTGCAAACCTGAGCTCCGTGCCGTCTTTATTACGCGATAAAGATGACAGGGAATGTATTTTAATCTTTAAAGCATGACTTCCTTTTGACGCTGTATTTTCTTATCTAGTGCTGACAGTTTCAGAGTGCAGATCTTTTCTTTTTTATGCAGTAAAGATGGGAGATGTTCTGCTGGTGTTACACCCATTTCGTTAAACTAGGCAACCGTCCACAGCACGTATAGGCTGTAATTATGATTCAGCAGGAAGGCAGCCTTCATGAAGTGGAGGAACAGATATTACAGCAAACACCAAAAAGGCTTAAACAACTAGTGAGAAATCATTCGGATTAACTATGTAAATGGGGCAGAGCTAAGACCTGAACTTAGTGGTATGATGAAATTAGTGCTCATGGTAGCAATTCTGATACTTTGTCTATCTAAGTTTTCAAAGTTTGTCTTTTCACCCACTACAAAAATGGAGGTGCACCTGTGTTTGCCGACGTCAAACTCAAAGAGAGAGAGAAGCTGCCTCAGACATGAGCTGGCTGGTATCGCACCTCACGAAGGTAGTGTGAAAATATGCAACACGATTTTTCCACCTTTAATGGTTCTAGTTTTTGGATTCTCACCATTTAACGAATCCCTGCTGCTCACTGCAAAGTGTTTGTGAATAAGGGTTTAAACTATTCTAATTGCCACTGGAGGGACCCCAGGGTGGGATACTATAAACAGCAGATTTAAAGCTGAGGCATTATTGTAAGATCTGCATTCCACGCTGACAGCTGATTCCACTGCGGCCCCCCTTCAACACGGTGTCACATGTTGCAGCCGCTATGGATCTCACACTCGGCTGGCAACGGTGCGTGACCCCCGTCCACTCCTCTACTCGCACAGGTTAGGGATCTGAGGATGTCCACAGAGTGCAGTTCTCCCCCGGATTAGAACATCACGCTAAACGGGCCCAGTGCCGACAGCCCCAGCTGCCCAGAGATCAAAGACTTCTGGTATATTGATGGCGGTGAGAATAACACACTGCCTCAGATCCCCCATAATCCGCGCCATGTTCAGGGCAGCTGGTTCCCCGGAATGACTGGGGTCTGTTTACTACAAATTCTTCCGGGCCAGGTGTGAAAGGCACTCCGAACATACCTGACAATGATATCTCCATGCAAGAAGTGCGTCCCCCCCCTCAGGGCTGTCTACCTTTGTTGCTTTATTTTGGCTTCCAGTGCATGACTCAAAGCTTCCTCTGGGAGTAACTGACTTTTGTCTTTCCCATCTGCAGCCCGACCGCAGAAACCTAGCTTTCCCCCGTCCCGCGTCCCCTTTGCCGGGCAGCCTGCACACAGTTATTTGTTTTAGGAGCTCAAGAATGTGTCCATTGTCTGTCCACAGTCATCCTGAACCGACTGCTATAAAAGCACCTTTTGTCCAAGCTCCTGGCATCTCCCCCCCCCCCCTTCTAAGCGCAGACAGAGCTGGTCCTGCGCGGGGTGGCTGACTCGCCGATGGGGTTACACAGAAAAAAAAAAAAGACAGAGAAATGGTGATGGGTTGAGGTGGGGGGAGGATGTAAAGAGGTGCACCAGGGGAACTGGAGGATATTTGGTTTTGGAGACAGGTGCATTCATCTTCCCCCTCCTCCACATGCCTTGTGCAACGTGTGCCTTATCGGGGCTAAGAGAACCTGGGGCTCCCAGTTGAATGGACATCGTGATTAATGCCACAGCTGCGCTGTCAGGCCGTGTGTTATGGGGGCTAATCATCTCCTCCTGGGAGTGAAGCAACACTGATTTGATGTTATTTCCGCGCTTATCATAATTTCTGCATTCTGGTTGCAGCAGACTCCAAGTTGGGCGTCCTGTTTCCTCTGTACCAGCTTGGTGTGTTCATCCTCAATCGACCACGTAGGCCTACTTCAGGAGCTGTTAGTAGTACTGCTGCTGTCATTTGTCTAAAAAGGAAGCATACTGTGCCAAAATAAAACGGCGCTTTGAACTGCGTGGCTGACTGAAATTATTTTTAAAACAGCTAAAGGGAACAGACACTGGTTCAGAATAGCCGTGACACTATTCCCAAAGCAGAGCACAGACCAAACACCGAGCAGAGACCTGCCCCGCTGCCTGCACCACTAATATAAATACATGAGGGTGTGAGAAGACCGAGCGTGCACCGTTCCGCCTTTGCTGCAAGCGTACTCGGCCCTCCACAACACAGCATAGTGGGCGGGAGAACAAATGAACACACTGAACTTTTCACATAGCGGTTTGTCAGGGTCCTACATGCTCATCATACAGTAAGCGTTTATGTCTCATCCACCCCCTCACACATGTCCTCCACTGTAAAGAAGCAGCCAGATGTCTGCATCCTCCCCATCCCTTTTTTCTCTCTCTCTCTCTCTTTCTCTCATCCTACCTGATTCTGCCCGCTCTGAAAACGGTGTTGAGTGTAAGGCAGTGTCAAAGCTCTGGCCATTTGTAGCTATAAAACTGGGGATAGTTTTACAATGCAATGAAAGCAGTGGACCTAATACACACACCAGGTAGAGAACGAGGATCAAAAGGATTCAGAAGAGCCGGCACAGACACACACACACACACACACTAAACAACAATGGGTATAGCTTTGGAAAGTGAAGGATCAAAGACACAAGCTTTTAATTCCAGGCACAGAGGGATGCTAAGCATCAGAGCTGAGGCATGAAACGGTTTGTTGCTGACTCTGGGAACAAAGTAATAAGGGCCTTGTGCAGACGCTGATGCCGAGGTGACAACAGCCATGCATAGAGGTGAGACACTGCTTGAATAAAGATTATATCCTTAGGTTAAGGTAATATGTCAGCCAGGAACTAGTAACAGTGGTCTGGCAGCGAAGACAGACAGCAGAAAAGTTACCAGCCGACATCGTTTTATTGGCTAATTTTTCTTTGTTCTGCATGCCGATATAAACCCTACAAAGATGAAGTGCTCCAAAGATGCAGAAACGTTGAAGTTTGCAGAGGATGATCCTAATGCTTAAACAATGCAAACCCATCTATGGGTGTTGTAAAGGAAAACATAATGCTAATAATTATGTTTTGCTAATCAGTCACATTGTGTCTAAGTGTGCACGTTCCCACAAAATGAATCTCCATCTTCCAAAGATCAGAGCACAGCATTCGACCAAAAATGATGTTCAGAGTGGAGAAGTGAGCCACCTATTCAGGAGACATTTCTGCTGGGTGCAGCGTATTATTTACAGGTAGTCTCAGACCCAGCTGGAGCTCTCCACTGCTGTTATTGATAAAAAAAAATTTTTTTTATATGTTTTTCCCTTTTCACTTTGATATTTCCCCGTTCATCTAGCTTTTCGTTTTCATGATGTGGAACTCACCGTGTTGAAGTTGGGGAATAGGCTGAGAGGGGAGGATCCATTGAGTCTGAAGGGCAGGAGGTGTTTGAGGTCGAGCTGAGGCTGCAGAGGCCGTCCTGGAACTGGCAGAGAAGCGAGAAGGGGGCTGCCCTGGGCTGATGTACCTGGACAGCACAATGAAACAAACGTTGGACGTTAAGAAATATCAAGAAAGATTAGGCTGAATCTACTGGGCTTCAAGGAGGTTAAATGCATTGCTGAGACCCAAATGGCTGCTATCACACAATGTATTCTCTGATGTGGTTCAAGGTGCGTTTGTTTTCCAGTGGGTGGTAAATGTGTGCTGGACAAACTGCCAGTTTCACCAAAGACTGGACAGCCACAGGCGGTCTTATCGCTCAAGGACACACACCCGCCCCCATAAGTACACGTGCACACACAAATACATCATTTAATTACTGATTTATTGGCCAATGAAAGGTGGCTGTGGGAAAGGAAGATGGGAGATATCAGATTTCAAATGGACCCGGGATGAAGAGATTTCTAATTTTCCACCTGGCTGAATTTCGGTGGACCAGCTTGCTCAGCGGTGCACAGACACTTATTCCTGTTCCAGGATCAATCCCCGGTGTCAGCTGCAGGTCACCACAGTCACCTCAAAGTACGCCTATCATTTCAGCTCTTCTTCAACACACACACTGACAACGGTGTGGTGGCACCGCTGTGTGGAACAAAAACAAACCAAAAGAAACACCACTACAAACAATTTATCTTTTTTTTTAAACATAAAGGCTGGGGAATAAAAGATACGAGACTCAGAAATGTTCCTAACTGAAAGTAAAATAAAGAAAAAGGGAGTTTCAGTTTATAAAAACTGAAAGATTTCCTTTTTTTTTTGTTCAAACCCTGAGTTTTGCTTAATGATTGTTGTTTAACATTAATAGAAGTCTGTTTGTTCCTGTTGATTCCGGAAATAAATAGGTTAATCCTTGTCGGGGTGACAAAACAATCCTGGTTGTGGCCCACAAGTGCTGTTTACAAGAGAAGAAAACTATATGAACTGCAAAAAGATGACTCAAAAAGGAAAAGACATTAATCACTAAAAGTTTCTGTTCATATTTCATAGTCTCTAATTCAAATTCTAAGGAAAGGGGATGATATATTAGAGTTTAGGTCCCCGGCACGACTGCTTTGTGTGGGCGTGTTTGTATGAGCCTCCGAGATTCCGCAGGCAGTCTTATAAATGCTACCTTTTGGGTCGAATCTACTAAAGCCCCTCTTTAATTGGAATACAGGACATTTTTATAAATATTTGGGCTGCTTGCAGTCAGCCTCAGAGGTCGATGGCAGACATTGGAGGACGGGCAAAGATAACAAAACTTATGCCACACAGGCTTCACATGAATGAGTGGATGTGGAAACCTTAAATTGGTTTTACTTCCACCATTTGTTGCAGATTTGAAGCAGCTAATTTTAGACAGTTCTTCTTTTATTAATTCTCCTTGCCAAAGCTTTTTAGTTACGTTGTTGGATCAATTCAGAGCATTCAGTAATGTTAAGGTCAGTGGACTGAGAGAGCCACTGAAAAAATTGAAGTCGTCCACTGTGCTGGTTTTTATGTGTGTTTGACTTCAGTACCCTCATGTTGAGGTCACTCTTTTTTCCCAGATAAAGTGCTGTTAAGTGTGATATTTTCCTCTTCATGTTTGACTAAATGTGAAATGTTCCCCATACCATTTCCTTTAAGTGTTTATGTAATTAAACTCTGCTTCTTTTTTCTATAGCCAAACTTACCTTGAAAGGCAAACATCCTATTTAAACTTCATCTACTCTTTGGACCAACCTCTGACACAGTATTCAGAGGTTCAATCGCAGGATTGGTTTTCTTTCAGAGTGTGTCCCTTAACCAGCCCTCCAGTCTAATACAAACAGACCTCCCACTCTGCCTTTTCTTCAGTAAAAACAGACTGGATGAAATGAATCAAATGTAGAGCTATTCCACTCAGTGTCCCCAGACTCCCTCAGATATGGTTATAACAGAAGCTATCAAAATAACACAGCAGTTGCTCTGAAACATTTCTGGGGATATTTTGTCTTATTCTGTGGCATCGTCGACATGCATTTTCTTTTTCATCTTCAAATTCGCTGTCACGGTTGTGGTAGGATGATGATTCAGTTCCTCGACCGGCGTGAAATAAAGAGCACAGCGAAAGACTCTCTCAGCACTGTGGAGCAGGACTTTCTCCCAACTGGCAAAATGTGAGGCGTGCGTTTGTATGTGTGTGTGTGTGTGTGTGTGTGCGGGGTTAGTGTATGGGGCGGCTGGAAGACTGGAGATCTGAGCATATGTCCGTGAGCGTCGGGATCAGATGTGATTTGCTCATGTGTGGGCACTTCTCTGCTGTCTGTCTGACACTCGGAGCGAGGCGGTGCGGATGCAGCCTACAGACACGTGGCCAGCAGCCGGCGGGGCACCGCTCCCACACAAAACATGCACATTCACACAAAATGCACGAAGAGGCAGTTTTTTTTTTTTGCTTCTTGGCAAGGCTATCAGAGAAAAAAAAAAAGATAGGTTTGCAGGGAGGACAGTTATCAGCTGATAGTGCTTTCCCAGCTCTCCGTGACTCCCTAGGCAGCTTATTAAATCAGGGGCTGGCTGTTTGCCTCTTTGGATGATAACGCTGCCATAGAAGAACAGCCTCAGTCTAGGCACGTATGACAGAAAACACACGTGGATGTGCGTGTGTGTGTGTGTGTGTGCTTGACTTGCATGTACTGGCTGATATTCATACTCACACTCAAACGCATACAAACAAAACTGCCTACGCATCTCTGAAAACAAATAGCTCCCGGGGCGAGGGGGAAGTCAATATATAAACACAGCCACACAACTCACGGATACACACACACACACACAGAAAATCAAACAAGGTATAATTTTGCACTTGGCACATATTGTGTGTGATTCTAGTGGGAGTACAGATTAAAGGAAGCTGAAGCACATTTCTTGCATTTCTGTATGCGTTAGTGAGTGAGTGTGCAAAGGAGGGTGGATTTGTTATTTTAGCCCGCTCCTTCTGATTGCCTCCTCCCATCACTCTGACTCATTTCCCACGGAATTAATGTATTTGCATGCGCATGTCGCCGTGTGCACATATGTTCACGCTGTCCAGAGTTATGTCTGCATCAAGGCTCAGATTTATTTACGCCTCACTTGTGGTCCGGCGTCCAGACAGCCACTGGCGATTGAGGCAAGCCCTGAAACCAAATGTTCAGCCTCCTTCTCCCCTTCTCCCGGATGACTCCGCGAGCAGATCTGACTGTCTCTTGCAGTCCTTCCCCAGGCTGGCCTCCTCCTTTACCCATCACAACAACGCATTCCTCCTCTCTTATGACTCACTTGGCTTGGTTATACAACAGCAACCGTCACACCGAATCTACTCAGACGTGAGCATGTTTGTACGGTACAAGCCATGGAATTCAACCATTGATTTTTCATTTATTTATTCTACACGCTCATCTGAGAGAATAATTGATTCCAATGTACATAAGCAACCCTGCTGAGCCGTTCCCTCCCATGCATCTTCCTCTGTGTCAGAATTATTTGATTATTTCTATCATGACTTTATTGGATGTGTTTACATCAGACAAACTGACTTTCCCCTCCAAGCTGCCTCCCTGCTTTGCATATTCCTGCTGATAATCGGCGAGAGAAGGACAAGAGGAGATGACCAAGAAGGAGAAAAAAGCTGGCTTTTTCTTTGTGACTTATTCTAATTACGTTGGATAGCTGCCGGCACAGCAGGATCTTGGAGTTGGTTGACATGGTCCTCACCTTCTTTTCCAAAGGACGAATTTAAAAGACTTGCCAGATCGGATGTGCTCCTCTAGATCTAGGCTCTATATACAGATTTTTAAATTCGTACTAGCATTTTTTAAAACAAAATAGTACACCCATACAATACTATTCACACGCATACGATCTCCTGCTGCTTATGTCCCAATAACATTTCCTGTGTGTGTTTCTCCTGGTGATTCAGATCCTTTATTGCAGAGTGATCCACACTAATAACTTCTCCTCGTTGCCTCCTTAAGGTTTTTATGGTGAATAAAACAACCGCTCCTAAATGCAGCAACATCCACGAATGAGTGCTTTTCCTCCATCATGTCCCACTACCCAGCGAAGCATCACCTCTCCGTCACCTTAGAATTCCTCAAACTAAAACCAAAAGACACAATTTGAGGCAAATACTTTACTCCCAAACGTATTTGGCACAAGCTGATAGAGTAAAATCTACAACGACAGAGCTCTTGAAGTGCTTCGAGCAATTCAGCCATGCACCCCTCTTTGTCTCTCTTAGTCATGCACATTACATCAGTCCATCTCCTCCTAATACACCCACACCACAAATGCCATCAAAGGAGGAATTCTTATTGGGACACAAGCAACTTCCACAACCATTCACACCCTCTAAGCCATTTTGCCTACATATAGCATCAAGCTAAAATGAAAGCAAAGTTAAATACAGTAGGCCTATATGGTTAGTTCAACTAACTTTTAGTGGAAGAAAGCCCCTTTAATTCCACGTAAAAGAACCACAAATAAAAACTACAAAGATTTCCTTTGATGTAGTCTTTTAAAGAAAATCAACTAAAACTCAACTCCATTCAAAGTGCTCATGACAAACGTGGAGCGCTGAAACTTAATCTGAGTCTCATGATACAGTGCTACGCATTATATTCTGTCATTCAGCCAAGAAATACCTGGTTATGGAGCTCAGCTCGTGTCGTGCAGCTCGAAGCTGTCCCAGAAATGAACGGATGAATGCATCACTCTTTTGTGTAAACTTCAACATAGTATATATCTGTCCTTTTCCGCAGCTCCAGAGAGACCAAAGAACTCCACTATTGTGAGACCCTAAGGACTATAATGACTTTGGCTGTACTGTTTCTATAAAAAGAGAAAACACAGTAAAAAGACCACTCCTGCACAGGCGCCTGTTAACGGCCACTGAAAACATATGGCGAAGACAAACAGTGACTTGCAGTTTCCAAGAAAAACCCTGCAGAAAAGTAATGATGAAACCGTGTTTTTAAAAGAGAACAGAATATTTGGAGTTTTCTTATTTGTTTATTTGTTATTTGTTTGAATTTTCTTCTGTGTCTTATTTGTTTGGATTAGTGGAGCGTTGCTTTACTTAATTAATCTGGTTCCTACTCATTTTTGGGCATCATGCACCACATCTCTAACACTCAGCTGTGACCCATTGCTTATTAGCAGCTGAAGTGTTGGTTAGACCCTCATCATCAGGTCTCTGCCGTGGAATTTAAACACAATTGAAATGATTCTCTACATTGTGCTCTGACAAATGAATGGATTTACATGCACTCAAGCAATTCCTCCTCCATTATCAAAGAATCCACCGTCGAGCCTTGAAGTCCTTCTGCTGTAATTTTCTTCTTTTAGAAGAGATTTTGTTTAGTTTTTTTCCTCTGATTTCTGTGGACTTTTTGGGTTCATGCACCGCATGTTCACCCGACACTGACACTGACTGTCGATTAGACAATCAGGATCACTGAATTATCTAGTTGCAATAATGAATGTCCACACACATAAACACAAGCTTCTTTCATAGGAATTTGCATGGGGAATGGCTGAATTGATGAACTGATGTGTATTACGGGCATGCATGACGTGAACACAGTTATGTGAATGATGTTTATAATTTGACATTTGCACAAAGAATAAAATATCTTCTTTTGTCTACAATTAGAAATCAACAGTGTTGATATGTATGCATTAGCTTAACAGGAATGATTCACTAGTACAGCACTCACATTGGAAAAGCCCTAAACTACAATCCTAACAATAGGGAACTGGGGCTTTTCTTTCATACAATAAAACTAAAACCAGTACCGTTCAAGCCATCATGTGCTGTGCATACAAATAGAGGCTTTGGATGTGCCCTGACTGAATATAGTGAATTAGCTTCATTGTGGAGTGAAGATATTTGGCCATTTAATGGCAAGAAGATGGCACCGTTCTGGCGCGGGATGTTCGAATATGTAACTAACTAACAGAGAGAGAGAGAAGTGACTTAACAGCCAATTAGCTTCTGCTCCAGCAGCAGGTGGTGTAACAGCCACTGTGGGGACTACCACAGTATGGACAGAGAACATTAGCCACAATCACTCTTAATTACAGATCATTTTTTTTCCTCTCCATGCACAACCGTTCTACCCTCACCTCTCTTCTCCACCTTCTTCTGAAATCACAATGTCAACCCGCAGACCTGAGCTCAGCGAGTTATGTGACGGGACTAATCACATTAAACAGAGCACAGGTCACTAAAGAACTTTAATTGCTCCCCCATTAAACTGGAAGAGTCATTTAATAATAACGATAATAATACGTATGCGCCACAGCACTGGAAAGTGGCCAAAAGAACGGATGCTGCGGGCTGCTTTTCCATTTAATTTGACCTGAACTTTTGTATCTACGGGCCATTTTCATGATTCAAGACTGAAATATGAAGAGACACACTGGTATCCAGTTTAATCAGGTTTTTATATCTCACTTCCTCTCTTTACTCCAAGCCTTTTAAAGTTGTTTATTTGAGTCACACATTTGCTCTTTTTTTTCTGGGTCAATCAGCCTGCCGTGACACACGGTATTGTGTACTGAAGTGTGTGAGTTGATATCTGTGTGTGCAGTTTGCATTTCAAAGTGTACACAGCAGGCAGATATGTATCTAGTCTGTCCTATGAAGAGGTGCAATGAATATTTGAGTAGAGTGGAATGTCCAC